AAAAAAAATGGCTAACAACCAGGTTTAAGAAAAGCTGGTAGGGGGCTGCCCAGTTTTACCCAACACCTCCCCCCTCTACCCCCACACTGTACAGTCAGGGCCAAGGACAACAGGCCTCCCCAATCCTTTCCCAATTTTCAGAACCATTCAACTCGTCCCCCCTACTACTTCTTCATAGAGCTCAGATGTTTCCAGTTTTGATCTTAGGACATATTTTTCCAACCACGGTTTTGTCTCAACTCCCAGACTTAGGGTTTAGCTTTAAGCGTTTGCTTTCTTTGACCGAGACTCTGACATTCCTTTGGGACTACAGCCTTTGGTGGCTGCGTCCACTTTCAGCCTGGCCCAGGAATGTCACACATTCCCTATGTTTCGGTGTGTCCTTCCCTACGTTCTCAGGTGTACCTCAAGACTAAGCCTAAAATAAGGCTCTCGTGTTGATTTCAGGCTCACAAATGGCTGACAAATTTCCTGTTAAGAAGGAATTTTTAAATATAATGAGAAAGTAAAACATAATCAATGCTTTCAAAATCCCATTTCTACTGTATTCTGACTGACTCGGAGAGCCATAGTTTTTCTCTTATGTTGTGTGAGAAAGAAACATGTGGACCTGTCACAAAATGTGCACACGCCACAGACACTACAGTGTTGTTTTTCTGGAAAAATTCCTAACGGAGAGAAAAAGCATCTGTTTCCTACGTTTGTCTCGCTGTGGAATGAAACGCGAAATGGGGGGTGGGCTGTGGAAAGGGCCTCTACTCCCCTTTGATAGGGATGCTGAGACAGAGCATCGATTTGGAGCTATGTGGGTCTCAGGCGGTACGATATGGATGGGGACTGCAATGTTGTTCGTGTGCACTTCCTGTCCGGAGCCACGGCCATTCCCTGTCCCCTCCATCTTCGTGTCACTGCCACAGTGGCACAGGAGTGGCATGGTGAAATTGTAATGACCTGGCTCTTCTGTTTACTGACTCTGACCTTGGGCGTGTCATTTAAGCATTCTGAGCCTGTGTCTCCACTTGCAAGATGGGAACAGTAATAATGATTGCTTATTTTTAAGGTGGCTGTTATGGGTTGAGCTGTGTCCTCCCCAAAAGATATACTGAAGTTCTAACCCCCAGTACCTATAGGGTTGTTGCAGGTGGAATAAAGTGAGGTCATACTGAAGGAGGGTGGGCCCTTAATCCGATATGTCTGGTATCTTTATAAGAAGAGGGAAGATGGCCACATGACAACACACACACAGGGATGATGCCCTGTGACAAGAGAGGCAGACACCGGAGTGATGAGCTGCAAAGCAAGGAATGCCAAGGACTGACGGGCCACCACCCGACACCAGGAAGAGGCAAGGACGGAACCCTTCCTACACATCTCAGAGGGAGCATGGCCCTACCTTCACTTTGGACTTCGAGCCTGCAAAACGGTGAGACAATAAATTTCTACTGTTTTAAGCCCCCTAGTTTGTCATACTTGTTACAGTAGCCATAGGACACTAATACAGTGGTCATTTCGTAATTAATTTAGTGTGTGTGTGAGCTCGTGTGTTTTAATTGCAGAGGAAACACATTTAGAATAAACCAGGTAGACGAAAAGAAGGTAACTTTTCTTACATATCTAAAACAAGGAAATGACATTATTTCCTTGAGAGCCAATGCTGCCTCTCCAGATTCACCTCCTAATATTTTCCAGCCCCANAACACATTTAGAATAAACCAGGTAGACGAAAAGAAGGTAACTTTTCTTACATATCTAAAACAAGGAAATGACATTATTTCCTTGAGAGCCAATGCTGCCTCTCCAGATTCACCTCCTAATACTTTCCAGCCCCAGTAACCTGCTCCAGAACACTGGCCTTCTGTCCGTACCTGCGATGCCCCAGGTTCCTTCCCCAGAGCCTTTGCATCAGCTTCTCCTTCTGCCTGGACCACGCCCTGGGCTAACCCCGGCCTCCTGTCTTCTCCTGTCTTTCCTCAATGAAGCCAATGCTGGCCACTCCATTTAAAACTGCAGTTTGTACTCCCGCCCCACCCAGCACCCCCAAATCCTCTTACTCAGCTCTTTTTCTTTTTTCCATGTTCTTATTGGCTTCTAATGTCCTAATAATTTACTTATTTCTCTAGTCTGTGCATTATTTACTATCTGTCTCCCTCCATAATAGAACATCAGCTCCATGAGGGAACAAGCATCTAGAACAGTACCGAGGTCATAATATATGTTCAACAAGGGTTTTTAAAAATCCATTATTTATTTTTAATTAACCAATGCTTGCCATAACAGCAACACAGATAGTTCTTTTCTTTCCTTTGATCTTGTCCTTTACTTCTCTTCTTTCCCCTAATTCCCAAAAGTAGTTAGCAGGTATCTGCAGCCCCAAAAATGGTATGATGTTGTCGTTAGAGGTCAGGCAGGTGGGGAACAAGGCGAAGTCCCTCAATTCACAGTACCAAGCTCTATGGTCTAAATACACCATGAGACACAAGGCCACTAACTATTCCATGGCATTTTATAACAGCAGTAAAACAATAAACAATGATTACATTTTATGTTACTCTCTCCCATTTGCAAAACATTTTCATATGAAATTTTCCTTAATAGATGAAAGAACTGGGGCTCAGAGAATTGAAGTGACTTGTCCAAGTTTACTCAGCTGGTCAGAGAAGAGCTGGGAATTAAATCTAGAATTAGATCATCAGTAACAAGGATCTTTTAACTTGGTATTTAGTGAAATTCATACTGCCCATTTCTGGAGTTACACTCACAATAAAGGAGATGCTCTTTATTTTCTCCATAAGCTACTTCCCTCCCTTCCCATCCTCTAAACAAATGACTCACTTACCTTAATAGCCACACGTCCTTTCCTTGCTGGGTAGCTCTCCACCAAAATTTTCTTCTTCTTAAAGGGAGAATTCACCTTCAGTGGTAAGCGCGCCAGGGAATGAGGTGCATTTCAAGAAAGCCTGGGAATCACTGATCTTGTGAACTGTTCAGAAAAAAACAAAACATCAAGAGTTTTATATCTTCAGTCCTCCCTGGGAATGCCTTCAAAATGAATCTCTTTTCCATTCCTTGGCAGAAATCAGTACAAAAGAGTTTTTTGCTGAGACTTCCAATTAAATTTACTAGCATTAAATGTGCATTCCTTAGCCTAAATTTATTCTAGGGCCTTAATAACATTTATTATAAACTCTTTCCACTTTTGAAGGGACTGAAAGAATCATATTCATGAATACTGAGCTCCTATCCTTTTTTACATACAGAATTCTCACATTTATTCTTCATGGCAGTTCAGTAAAATTCAAGGAGCTAAAAGACACAAATTCAAGCCAGCAGAAGTGAAAGCAATAATCATTATATTATTTCCTCCCCCAGAGATATCGAAGCATCTTTTCATTCAAGTACCAATCACAGAGGTAACTAGGGTCATGGGCTCCCTCTGGGTAGGGTATGCACAGTCCTTCTCAACATGCCAGAAAGCAACCCCTGGCATCATGACTGGAAACTGGAACTGGAGAGTAGGTGTAAAGGTCTGGGCAACAACCCCAGATTCAAATATGCCCTTTGCAAAGCCCAGGAAAAGAAGATGACTTTCTGGGGCAATGATACAGAAAGAAACCACTTCTAATCTCAGGGTGGCAATGGTGGTCTGGCTCCTGCGGGGAGATCACTGGGTGGGTTAAGGAGGAGTCCCAGCTGTGGCTCTGAGAGACTATATCAGACCAGCTTCCCACTGAACACAACTAGAAAAGCTGGATAAAAATTATGTTAAAAACCTGTCTAAAGACACTCAAGTGCTACCAAGGCAGCCAGGACATAAGAGGGCAAGATCTTAGGGAAAAGAGAAATAAAACTGAGGCAACTCATTGTACCACTTTCCTTCTCAGGACACCTACTGATCTTTGAGAGGCCCAGAGCAGAGCTGCTGAGCAGCCAAGCAGAAAGCAGCTGCTCAGAGGCACAAGAAGTGGGATAATCTATGGCAGACTAAGGAAATCCCAAAGAGAAGGGGCACACAGAGACATAGGGAGGTGGACATTCTGCCTCCCTAAGCATTTGCTAATTGATAAATGAGGTAAACCAAGCAGAAGGCAGTGCCAAGAGGCTGGAGAATTAAATGGAGCTTTTGACAGTTTCATGATGTTGGAAGAATTAATATTCGAGTTCAGGGCCCACCAATAAAAGGAAAGCCCAGGTAAATATCCCCTGCTTTTCGTTAGGACCCCTGAAGGGCTCCTCCCTACCATGATAGCCTAAAATACCAGAACTGAGACTTAAATTGGTCCCTCATCAGATTAAGGTGGTCTGCCAGACTCTCACTGCCTATGAGAAGCAAAAGTAGCCTCTAGAGAAAGATACCATCCTCTGTAGTGTTTATGATTCTTTATAAAAAATGTCTGCATTCAATCAACAATTACTAGGCATTCCAGAGCATGGGTTTAAGAAAGGAAGACAATAAAAACAGACCCAGATGTGACCCAAACAGAGTCATAGGATATAGTCTTTAAAATAACTGTAATTAATATATTCAAAACTATAAAGATTGTAAGATATTTTAACTCACAAAACAGGCCAAAAAAAATTAAGTGAGGATACAAAAGATTTGAACAACACAATTAACAAACTCAACCGTAGTAACCAATCTAGAATACTGTACCCAACAATGGCAACTCCATATTCCTTTAAGGTGCACATGAAACATTTACAGAAATTAAACACATGCAGGCCATAAAGCATGTTCCCAGATATTTAAACAAATGGAAATCACAGTGTACTTTTTTTGAACTTATGATTTTGAAATAATATAGATTCACAGAAAATTATAAAAATAGTATATTTTTTTAATTGAGGGAAAATTGACATGCTATAAAATACATACTGCTCTTAAGTGTACAATTTGATACCCTTTGATAAAGAAGCCCAACTGTGTAACCGCCAACAAAATAAAAATAGAGAGTATTTCCATCACTCCAGGGTGTTCCCTCCTGCTTCCTGCAGTCAATCCCCACATCTCAAAGACAACCACTGTTCTCACTGCTATTGCCGTAGATTAACTGTGCCTGTTTCTGAGCATCATACAAATGGGCTCATATAATACGTGCCCTTGTGTCTGCCTTTATTCACTCAGCATGAGCCTGAGACTCATCTACTCCGCTAAGGGCATCAACAGTTTACTCCTCTTTATCCCGAGCAAAAGGAGTCCACTGCATGAGAACACCACAACTTGTACCACATTACTCTACAGATGGAAATCTGGTTGTTTCCATTTTAGGGCTGTTATAAATAAAGTTACTATCAATATTATTGTACAAGTCTACTTGTGAACATGTATTTTTATTCCTCTTGATAAATACTTAGGAGTGGAACTGCTAGGTTATAGGACTGATAAGCTTTTAACTTTACGAGAAACTGCCAAACATTTTCCCACAATCTATGTGTGGCTATCACTTGGACTTCAGTACTGAGTTACTCACTGCAATTAATAGGAAGACCATTGCCTGAATGACCGCATCTCTCCAGGGGCCATCACTTTCCCTCTGCACTCCCTGGGAAGAGAGTTCTGGGCACAGGAGCCACAGCAGGGCTGCTCCAGAGCTCCAAAGACCGCCAGCTCTGATCTCTGTCTGGCAACGCATCTCAGAGATGCTCTAAGTGGTGGCCCCGTCCCAGTAACGGCCACAAGGAAATGTAACCACACCGACTTTTCATTCTTCAGAAGTGTCAATTACCCAGTTGGTCATTCTTTAATAAGCACCTTTAGAGCAATAAATCAGGCAAACTAGCAAATATAGAATCTGAGAGTAATGAGGACTGACTATATGCCTGGTTCCAGGTCTGAAACCTGGTTTTCCTCTTTCAAGTTTCTTCCTATTTAGTCAAAAGAGGCCTGGTGAAGCCCCAGGTAAGTTTCATGACTCCCAGCAAGGTGTTAGCTCAACTAAACTGGCTTCCTGGGCGCTCCCTTACTACTGAGGTAGCAATTCACAACTTGTCCCATGCTGAGCCCTTCGGTTTGGAGCCCTCACCCCATCCCTGTTTGTGTCCTTTCTCTCTTCCTCAGGGGGAGCTTTACAGAATGCTGGAAATGTTAACCATGTGCCTGTAATTCAAGAGTGACTCTATCTGGGTGCTTATGTCAGACACAAGAACACCATCGGCAATAACGGGGCCACCTACGCTTAGTACTACACTCTGGAGACTGACGGGAAGCGGGAGGAGAGGGAACAATGCGGTCCTTCAGTGGACCCAGCATCCGTATATCCAGGTAAACTCTGAGTAAGTTTAAAAGTGGGCTCTTTCCCTTTGCCACGATGCTTCAAGCCCCTGCTGCCTGTGGGGTCCGCCCTACAAACCAGGTGCTGGGAATCAGTTTCCGCCCAGCAGTCAGGAAGGCCGGGTGTCAGGACGGCGTCTCCAGGATTCACTTGCTTCTGCAAGTCATGATGCCTGTGACCTGCCACTTGAGAACAGACTGTAACAGAAACTACAGCTGCATTACTCAGAAGCTTTCTGTCTGGAGTAGTAACTGCACTGCTGGCTGGCCAGCTGGAGTCAGGTTTCCATCTGGGTGACTCTGGCTTTGCAGACAACACAACCTGGTCACTTTGAGCAGTGTATTCTCAGCCCATTCTTTAACAGCAACTGGCATGGAGAAGCCATGACCTGGTTTTGGTGACTCTCGGTGGACAGCAGGACTTCCTTTCCCTCCTCTGAGGCCCCCAACCTGACAGCAAGGTGCAGCAGGAATGATCTGGACTGGACTTTGGGTCAGGAGACCAGTCTTGGCTGGATGTGAAATTATACTGTGAAGTTGGGGCGGGGGGTGGGATATAAATTACCTCCTTCCTTTTCTCCTCTACTTCCACGCACTAGCAGGAGGAGCACAGAAAATCTGCTCTTTCAGCCCTGCCTTCCCAGCCTCTTACCCAACAGAACTTCAGGGACCATGTAAGTACAAAAGATCTACCTGATACTGTGTGACTGCATCTACAAAGGAGGAAAATCTAAAGCCATTAGTGTGTAGAGACATCTTCAAGGATGCCTTACACATAGGAATCAAGCTCAAGGGTTGAAATCTACCCCACCCCACCCCACCCCCAGATCTTATCATTTTCTATTCTTTCTCCACACACACACACACACACACACACACACACACACACACACACACACACTTCTTAGCCCAACTACAAGCTTTGGTTTTCTGTACAGTTGCTATTAATTTCATTTCCCTTCTTCCTTTCATTGTGAAACTTCAGAGGCAAATGGTCTATACCTTTTCTTTCCATCGTCTCAGCACTGTTCTCTGCTTAACTGCTCCAAATCACTCCTGATCTCACCATTCGACTCAAACTGCACCTCTCGCCGTCACCAGTGACCTCTGAATCCCAAAGGAAAGTCTTTGCTGAGGTCTCATCAGTCTTGAGACTCACCATCCTCCCATCTACAGTCCCCTAATATATGATGCTGCTAACTAGACACCACTATCTGAAGTTGTCTGTTTCTTTAGTTTCCTTGATAACTGTCCTCCTGGTTGCCTTTAACCCTCTATGTGCTTTTCCCCCCTCCACACATAAATCTGTAAGGCAAAGCAAATATCTGTTCCCCGTCAGCTGCAATGATAGCAGTTTTTCTAAGACTGAAGCCTGTCATTTCACTTTTTCATTCTCACTCAACATGCCTGGTTAGTTTTGTGTTTTTTAAAATCATATTTGTTTCATTCCTTGACTGTCTCTTCAGTCTGGTCTCTCTGCCACCATCCTGACCCAGGCTCTCATCTACTCATACCTGACCTGCTGCAAAAAATCCTACTATTTAGTGTGTGTCTGCTGTGTCCTAAACATTACTGCCAGACTAATTCAGCAAATTCTGCTTGCATTACATTACTCCCATTCCACAAAACATGCAATGACTCCCCATTATTCACAGAATAAATTTCTAACTGAGCCTGGCAGTCCAGGCCCCCAAACCTGACCCCACTCAACC